TTCTCGTGCCAGGAGGTCATGAACCTCTCAGCTCCCTGCAGCACCGCCGCATGCCAGGGTACTCCCCCCTCTACTTTCGCGACTTCCGTCCACTTTAACTTCAANCGTCCACTTTAACGTCGGTGCCTTGTCTTTGGTACGGGGATTCCGAGACAACATGGATCGGTTTTCGTAAATCCGTGGTCGGCCCCGAATGCCTTCAGGTCGTCGAGCACACACTTCGGCCAATTATGTTCCTGTCCCCCCCTACGTCGCTTCTCCCCCCCTGCCAGTTCGCCGAACATCAGTCGTTTCGGGAGTCGCCCGTCCGGCTGCCTTGCCAATGCTCCCGCGAACAGTAGGCGTCGTTTTCGGATCGTGGCTTCAACGCTCTGGCATTCGACCCTCTTCAGCGTCTCGGCGTAAGAGAGCTGCCGGTAGGTGTCTTCCTTGCGCTTGTACCCCATAACTCGAAGGAGCAGTCGGTGGTGTATCGACCGCAGCGTCTGATAGTGGCCGCTGAGTGGTGACCATGTCATGCAGCCGTACAGCAGTGCCTCCATCGCCTCCGCCTGGAGCAGGCGGATCTTGAGTCGGAATGGCGCTTGCGGTCTGTCGAAGAGCTCCCGGCCATATCGCCTGAGGCACGCCCACGCTCCTCTGCTCCTGTAGTTGATCTCCCGGGTGAGGTCGCCATGTTCGTTGACGAGGCCACCGAGGTACCGGAACTCGGTCGTCTGGGCGTTTTCCTGTCCCGCGGCTTCGATGGTCAGTGGTGGAGGCGGGGCGGGCTGTGATGTTGTAGTCGGCTTGTCCTTTGCGCGCATCAGGAGCGTCTCCGTCTTCTTCTCCGACACCGTTAGCCCGAACTCCCCGAACACCTCAACGATGATGGTCATCATTCTCGCCAGTCCTTCTGCAGACCTCGATACGACGCCGGCATCATCGGCATACAGCATCCCCCATACTGCCCTCCGTACTCGGTCAAGGGGTGTCTCCTCCCCCCCCCCCGCTTCCGTCTTCCCCTCCTCCAAGCACACCAGGCTCCGCAGAACAACATCATCCTCGCTGAATCGGATGACAACGACCTCGAGGACCTCGGCGAAGAAGATGTTGAACAGCAGTGGGGATAGCACACATCCTTGTCGCACGCCCTGTGTCACGAAGAACCAGTCCGATAGTTCTCCGTCGACCATGCGCACCCGGGCCCGCATTCCATCGTGGAATTGGCGCATGACTTCGATCAGCTTCGCGGGAATCCCGGCCCTGGCCAGCACCTTCCATAGCATCTCTCGGTCCACCGAATCATACGCCTTGTTCAAGTCGACGAAGCACATGTAGAGCGGTATTTTCTTTCTCCGCCCCAGCTCCTGGAGGCGGCGCACGACGAACAGCATGTCGACGGTGGATCGCCCGGGTCGAAATTCGGACTGTTCCTCCGGGAGGATGTTGTTGGCTTCGCAGAAAGCGCTTAGACGGTTGGTGATGATCTTGATGGGGACCTTGCCTACGTGAGATAATAGCGAAATCCCCCTGTAGTTGTTACAGTTGGACCGGTCACCCTACTTGTACAGCACCTTGATGGTTGCATCCTTCCACTCTCGCGGAATATATCCTCCGTTGNGGCGCACGACGAACAGCATGTCGACGGTGGATCGCCCGGGTCGAAATTCGGACTGTTCCTCCGGGAGGATGTTGTTGGCTTCGCAGAAAGCGCTTAGACGGTTGGTGATGATCTTGATGGGGACCTTGCCTACGTGAGATAATAGCGAAATCCCCCTGTAGTTGTTACAGTTGGACCGGTCACCCTACTTGTACAGCACCTTGATGGTTGCATCCTTCCACTCTCGCGGAATATATCCTCCGTTGCACACCTCGACGAGGATGGTATGGAGGTGTCCCAGGACGAAGGGTTCGTCGTCATCGATCTTGAGCAACTCGGCAGGGAGGGAGTCATGGCCGGGTGCCTTCCAGTTCTTGAGGCCTTTCGTTGCCCGTGCCACCACCTCGAGTTCTGGCACATCTCCCAGCCGTTGAGTGTCACGTGTCGCTGGCCGCTGCGTCACTCGTTCGATGATGTCTGGGTTCAGGGTGGGGGATTTCGTCTTGAGTAGGGTGCTGAAGGATCTCGCCCACCGCTGGAGGATGTCGTCCCTGTTCCGAAGCAACACGCCGTTCGCATCCGTGACGAACTGCTGTCGCCCCGCTTGTCTCCCGCTGAGGCCCACTGATCTCTTGAGGTGTTGGTACAGTCCTCGCATGTCGCGATCTTGTGGATTTCTTCGAGCTCAGTCACATATCCGTCCAGGTGGGCATACATGCCCGTTTCGACTCCTGTAGCCACTCCCTTCCACGCTGCTTTGAGAACCCTCCACGTCGCTGAGTTCCAGTTGCCCATCATCACCCGGCGCACTTCCCGACGTTTGGTAAGGGCCTGCTCCAGCGCTGCTCGCGTCTCTGGGGTCTCACACCACTCCTGTGTGCGGCGTCTCCGCGGTCGCTCGCCTAGGGTCGTCCACGCTGCGTCGAGGAGAGCATTGGTTAAGTCGGTCGCCAATTCCGCGGCGGTGGTTGTTCGCTCGTCCACTCGTGTGTCAAGGTTGAGGAGGAACCGATTAGTCACCGCACACCGTGCTGCTTCGAACTGCAATTCCTGTCGGTTGAATTGCTTCTGTTTCGGTTTAGTCCGGACTGCACGGTTGTGGGCAAGCCTGCCACCGACCTTGACGGTGGCTTCTACCATATTGTGGTCTGAGTCTGCTTTGACTGGGTTCTCGGCTGGGGGATGACGACCACGTTAGATACTCGGCCGTGATGTGCCTGCCTTGTCAGGATCTAGTCAAGGCGCTTGCAATCGTTTCCCGACACACTGTTGTATGTGTGCCATATTCCGCCCTTGCGTGTCTCAAAGAATGTGTTCGTGAGAACTAGCCTGTTTTCCGTTGCGAAGTTCAACAGGAGCATGCCATTGTCGTTGAGCTCATCACGCCCGTACATTCCTAACACGCTTCCGTCCCCTCCGTCCAACCTATCTCCCGTCCGCGCGTTGGCGTCCAGTAGGACATACACACATTCGTTGGAAGGGATCCTCCGCACGAGACTGTCAAGCTTTCCCCAGAACACGCGCTAGCTGTCGGCGGTTGAAGGTTCCGTTGGAGCATCGGCGGCTACGAAGTTGACCGCTCCACGGTGGTCTGCCAACAGAAACCTCATGGCCATAAGGCGTTCGTCGATAAACTCCGTAGTGAACATGGATGTCTTGCACAGTGACTCTTTGACGGCTATCCCCACACCATGGACTCCACCAGCGTGCCACAGCAGAACACCCGGAAACCCGCTGGTGCAAATTCCGTTCGACCTGCCCTCCGTGTCTCCTGCATTCCTACCACCGATACGTCTTGTCTCGCTGCCTCGTGTAGAACGCCGTAAGCTCGCCCGCATCCATTGGCCCCGTANCTGTTTCGGTTTAGTCCGGACTGCACGGTTGTGGGCAAGCCTGCCACCGACCTTGACGGTGGCTTCTACCATATTGTGGTCTGAGTCTGCTTTGACTGGGTTCTCGGCTGGGGGATGACGACCACGTTANCGGTTGTGGGCAAGCCTGCCACCGAGGTTGACGGTGGCTACTACCATATTGTGGTCTGAGTCTGCTTTGACTGGGCGAACCGGCTGGGGGATGACGACCACGTTAGATACTCGGCCGTGATGTGCCTGCCTTGTCAGGATGTAGTCAAGGCGCTTGCAATCGTTTCCCGACACACCGTTGTATGTGTGCCATATTCCGCCCTTGCGTGTCTCAAAGAATGTGTTCGTGAGAACTAGCCTGTTTTCCGTTGCGAAGTTCAACAGGAGCATGCCATTGTCGTTGAGCTCATCACGCCCGTACATTCCTAACACCCTTCCGTCCCCTCCGTCCAACCTATCTCCCGTCCGCGCGTTGGCGTCCAGTAGGACATACACACATTCGTTGGAAGGGATCCTCCGCACGAGACTGTCAAGCTTTCCCCAGAACACGCGCTAGCTGTCGGCGGTTGAAGGTTCCGTTGGAGCATCGGCGGCTACGAAGTTGACCGCTCCACGGTGGTCTGCCAACAGAAACCTCATGGCCATAAGGCGTTCGTCGATAAACTCCGTAGTGAACATGGATGTCTTGCACAGTGACTCTTTGACGGCTATCCCCACACCATGGACTCCACCAGCGTGCCACAGCAGAACACCCGGAAACCCGCTGGTGCAAATTCCGTTCGACCTGCCCTCCGTGTCTCCTGCATTCCTACCACCGATACGTCTTGTCTCGCTGCCTCGTGTAGAACGCCGTAAGCTCGCCCGCATCCATTGGCCCCGTATACAGCCAAAGTCCGCACATTCCAGGTTGCTACCCTAAGAAGTTGACCCTGCTGTCTCCTTCGCGCGGCGCGCGCGGCTCTCGTAGCTAGCCTACGCGCCGTCCGACCCCTCCTTTTCCTCCATCTTCCCCTCTTTTTTGTTTTTTTACTATTTTCTTGCGAACACTCGGGCTCACGTGATAGTTACCCCGGTTCTTGCTTTGTTTCCCATAGAGTTGTCTTCTTGTCCCGGACCGGTGTGGCCCTCCATCTCTGGACTCTCTCCTTTCCTCTCTCTGGGGCATACCCCCACGGCGTGCGGTCACTCCGCCACCCTCACCGTGCTCTCTGCTGCTGCTTAGCCCCGGTGTCCAAGCCGGGGCGTCAGGATCCAGTCTCATTTTGCAGCTACCAAAGCTGGCGGCTCAGGAACTACCCCGTTCGTACGACAGCAGTAACTCCCAACCGCCAAACTCAGGATCCCCCTCTAAACAGTGCTAGGGACCGTATATCCGTCGTTGCTGGGTGGTCTTTCGAGGTCTAGATCCACTGCGGAACCTCGGCCTACCTCAGGGACGGGGGGGGCAGGCCGGGGAGGAGGAGGACTACAGTGCACCGGCAAGAATACAGGCGCTACTGAGTGACGGCTGCAGGCTCCGATCGAAACGCGTTACAACACCACATCTAGTAAAATGAGGCGGATGTTCTACCTATCCTCGCTCACCTGCTCATCCTCCCCACGGGAGGACTCCTCGGCTTCGACTCCAGGTTCAGCATGCCCTTCAGCCTCCCCAGTACGGTAGTGGATCGCGTTCGTTGGTGCTCCATGTTCTTGCCCTCCCCGCCATCCTGTTCCGCCGTCTCGTCGTCGTCATCGCTTTCTTCGTCGTCAAAAGCGCAACTCTTCCTACCAAGGGTCGGAGGGATCCGTCTTCTGTAGCTTGCCGCGTTGGCGTCAGGGGCCGGACTCTTGAACGCGCCGCCGGGTGTGCTGCTACCGCCGTCATCACCCTGGACGCGCGCTTGCCTCTGGGTCAAGCGGTCGAAAACAGCTTCGTCGCGGCAACTGGAGGCACCACCGCCGCCGCTGCTGCATCCGCCCCCGTCAAATTCGAGGGTTCGACTCGAAACGGAGGCGGCGGCTGTGGTAGGAACATCCAGCTCCAGCACGCGCCGTTGCCGTCCCCGGACTCTTCTCTTGCGGCACGGGATGGGTATAACCGCCGCATTCGATGCCACGACTCTACCTTCGGGGGTAAATAGGAACCGTATCAGCCTGGGCGGGGGACAGACCTTCGCGGCCACCCCCCCCGGCCACTCCGGCGGAATCAGCACCTCCGCGCCCCTGTCGTAGTCGTTCCCGGCTCTGAACAAGCCCGGTGAAGGAGGGTCCGCGAGGATGACTTTCGTCCTGGGTGAAGACGAGCGCGCCTCCCGTCCCGCCTCTTCTTCGCGGGCCACAACTGGGAGGAATCCAGCTTCGTCATCGATGACGGTGTCCCAGTAGTTGTCGTCGCTGTCGCTGCCACCGTCTCCTCGCGCCGCCGCTGCCAACATCGCCGCGAACGCGGTTTGCGACAGAAACCCCTCGTGACCGTCCTTGCCGGTGACCAAATTCATGCCACGGCGGTTGTTGCCGACGTCTCCGCGAACAACGCCGCGGGGTCCACTCGTAGTGGAACTGCTTGGGACGAGGGAATCAGGCATAGCCGAGTCCTCCGGCAAAAGTCCTCCACTGCTGCCGTCATCGGCTGTCTCGTGTCCGTCACCCTGGTAGGACAACGGTGCACGGTGCATGGTAGCAGCAAAGAGGGTTCAAGTTTAACCGTGGTACAGCGGGGCACTGGCGTCGCCAAGCACGATGGAAGNGGGGGGGGGGGGGGGGGGGGGGGGGGGGGGGGGGGGGGGGGGGGGGGGGGGGGGGGGGGGGGCGTGCGCGCTTGGAACACCTCCAACTTTGTGAACCAAAGCGCCTGAACCACGGCACCAACCTTTGGAGGGAAGAACCAGACACCAATGTCTCCGTTTCGTTCGCCAGAACACGCACACGCCCCAAACACACACCTTGCAGAAAACCTTCGATAGCCGCAGGGAACTCTCGCGGATTGGCGCCGCGAGCGAACTTCTTCCACCGTCGACACAGACGCCGTAGCTGTTGCTTTTCGCAGCGGCTGACGCCGCCTCTGACCCTCGGTTGGTCCATCGGCATCCAGAACCACCGTCGACGAGACGAGAAGAACAAGGAGAAAAAAACGCCGTCGCCGGAATGCCAGCCGAAGGACATGTCGGTGTTGGCGACGCCGCCGTTCTCGTCGCATCCACCGGGCAATGGCCGATGGACCGGACGGCATCGGTCTGTCCACTCTGTCTTACCTGTTCTACTGTCGGATCCATTCCCGACCGCTAGCGCGAGAGCAGACGATGCGGGGACAGGGAAGACAACGTTCGGCGGGGGGTTAGGAGATAGGACAGTTCGCCCCAAAATTGAAGCACTTGGTCCCTTTCGAGTTTACCAGGACGACGTGGCCAAAATCCTCGGTGTTGCGCGACCTCCGTTCGATGTCCGAAATTCACACGCGTGCTGTTTTGTCGGTCTAGCCACGTTGTTGCGCAGGGCATTTAGTGCTGTCTGTCTGTCTGTCTGTCTGTCTGTCTGTCTGTCTGTCTGTCTGTCTGTCTGTCTGTCTGTCTGTCTATCCCCTTCGACTGTGTGTGGTATTTCTTCGAACGATTACTACTACTGTCTACATCTAGTCTTTCTGACAAAGGGCCTCAGGGGGCGCGATGTGCACATAACAACAGACATAAACAGGCGGACATAAGAAAGAACACATTCAATTAATCGAAGTATCTAGCTGGTCATCTTCCCACTGACCTCATAGACCTCAACACATCCCCTTCGACTGTGGTGTTATCTCGGACGGTAGGTAATAATACAGTAGTTACCTAGTACGGGTTTGTCTAGCCCACACAACAGACATAAACAATTGTACAATACAGTTATTATAGCGCCCGCAAATAAGAAACACTTATTTCAGGTCCAGCCTCGAATTCTTATTGTGGGCAATAAACTCAGCGTATGTCGTTCAATTTCTCATGTCAAGTTTCTTATTTTCGTGCCGCCAAATCCTGCTGAATTTCTTCAATCGGCAATTTCTTATTTCCTCTGCTCACGAGAGCTGGCGGAGAGCACCATCAAAACCGTACAGCGAGACAGCATATATACCGTGGTTCGCAGCCTGTCTGGTGTGCTATGCCAGAGCCGGAGCGCCAGAGAGCGCCAGAGCCGGCAGGGGGCCGGAGGGTGCGCCGCAAAACAAACGCACTCCCCTCTCGTCGAACAACTAACAACGCACCTGGGAGGAGGGGGTAGTGGGAGAGGGGGGGAAAAGCGAGAGATAGGGGGGGCTGTGGGGTGTTTCTTAATCGACACACTCTCCCCGTAACCCCTCGTTTCTTATGTTTCTATTTCTGGTAAACATAAACCTAAAAAATAATTTGTATAAAAAAATAACAAATATATAATTATTTTGTTTTAGGAAGTAAATCGAAAAAGTAGCGCAGCGGTCGTCGCTGTTTCTCATTGAAACATTTCTTGTTGTGTGACCCAGACTGAGCGATGTTGCTTGACCCTGTTTTCTTGTTTTTCGTGGAAAAGTGAGCCTCAATTTCTTTAAAAAAAAATCTTAATTGCGGGCGCTAACTGTACGTACCATGTAGAGCACGGTCGACAAGGGATGCAGAGTGGGATCATTCTCGCGACAATACTTCAGGCAAATACAAACTGAAGCAAGGGAGAGAAACAAGTGACTCTGATACTTTCTAAAATAAGTGACTCTCTCATTTCAACGATGTCCCTTGCACGGGGGCACTTACCGATAGCAGCCAGCAGTGAACTACGGACATCTGGCTGCCCGAGAATGCTTCTGGATACAAACGACATCGGTGACCTTTCTACAGTAGATCATTCAAAGAGTTCCTCTTATATCTTCAAAGGAGAGGTGAACCATGATAATGACGACTAGACTAGACTACTGGGTCTGTACACAGATAGATACTGTAGATGCGTGATATTTGTGCAAGAATCAACTCGTGTGTACAAGACGGGGAGAGTCACTTGTATTGTAATCTTCTGTACCAGCTGATATCTACCAATGAAAAGACGTCAGCCTTACCAGTGCGGTTGAAAACACACTCCTATCTGCCGTGAACTGGGACCCCGTGAGGGGGCAGCATGGGGGAGGCTAAACTATCCTTCGGATCAAAGACAGAAACGGTGGCAACAGAAGAAAATGCGTCTACCAAGGCTATTACCTTGTACTCGAGTTCGATTAGTAGTACCTCCATCATTATCCCGTTTGTTGTCGCTACCATCACTCTGATCCTCGTTTTGACAACAATCTCTTGCCAATTCTTCCCGAGCCCTGTGTTTTTTGTTGGGGAAGGCCTTCTGGCTCAAACCCTTTCTTTGCTCTCTTCCACTCCTGCATGTTTTCCTCCTCCATCTTCGTGTTCATCCTCCCGTCTTCTCTTTCCCTTCCCTTCGTCTCCGTCACTCCCGCAAGAATTACCCTCAGAATCATCGTTGTCGCACAGATCCCAACCGAGTGGAAGACGGTCGATCAGCAGCCCATGACGTTCGAACACATCGATCGCGAGTTCGCATCGACAGAACACGAGCTAGCTCGAAGGTAAACCGTTTCCGAATTCTATTAGTGTGAAAAGCTTTCAGGCGAAGCAAGGCTCGTTCGTCGTCGAAATTCCCCCGGCAGAAAGCTTCGTGCGCCAGGTGGTTGGCGATAGCTACGATGAGTCGATTGGTGCCGTTACCAAGACCACCATACGCTGAAAAAGCATCGATGAGGGTATATCTAGACGGGTTGAAAGTTCCCGCGTAGTGAATTGTGTGTCCGTTCCGGTCGGCGCTCAACCGAGAGCGCGGGGGTTTCGAAGCATGCTTTCGTTGCTATCGGCGGGACGGCGATGGTGTCGGCGTATAGACTAATCGAGACTGACTAGTCTACATTGCTTGCTTCAATCATTCATCATCATCTTGCTTCAAGATTGAAAATTCTTGAATTCTTGATACATGCACAGGCACCTCGCACCTGTCTCTCCTTGGCGGTGATCGCGCTCCGACCGCCGTCGACACCGCCGGAGCAGCAGTACGCAGCTGCAGCAGCAGCAGCAGCAGCAGTGGTGGTGGTGGTGGTGGCGGCGACATACGCGGGCGAGGCTTCGCCAGGCCCCCAGGTTCGGCGCCTGTGAACGGGACCCATCACGATGGTTTCCCTCCCCTTCATGTCATCTGCCGCGTCCGGACTGCAATCAATGTCCGTCGATGTGACGTCGGGCCACCCAGACGAGAATAAGGAACAACCAAGGAAGTTGATACTTTATTTCAGGAGAAGAGGACAGGGATTGGGGAGATGTGGCTGCTGACGTTCGGCGCTCTTGCTCGGAGCTCCACAGCAAGCGCGGTACCCAGCACGGTAGGTTAGGTGCTGTAACTGCGAGGGGCAAGAGTTTTTGATTCTCATGCGGTCACGTCAGTCTCACCGACCTCAATTTACATTTGCAGACATTTTTCGACCGATGGATCTTTGAGGGGAACCGCTGTGACTCCGGCCCACCGAAGTTTGCGAAACACGGCAGCACTGGTGGGCCGTGGGGGGAGTGTTCGTGTCTTGAAACAAAGCTTGACGGACTCGGGAATTAACGATGACGACTAGACTACTACAGTCCTTGTGGTATGTCTACATACATAACGTGTGTAATGACGGTGCGATGATTGCACCGGGCACCGGCACTATCAACAGCCATTACCGACACCACTACTATTGAACATATTGCACTGGTATGCATATTCCGCGAATATCCACGTACGTGTCATATGTTGTCACGCGGTGTAACTGCTGCATTGTCACGCGGTGTGACTGCTGAATTGTGACGTACAAGCAGTCATGTTACGAACTGCCGGTGGTGGGCTCGACCGCAAACTGTGGGAATATCAGAATCTCTGTATGAACGGCCAGCAGAAAAAACTGTGTCTGCTGCATCCCTTTGGCTACACAAAATCGTTTTTAGCTGCTGTTTTTTGTAGGTTGTGTTCCCTTTACAGCAGTGTTCCGCTTATTTTATTCCGATTCTTCATCGATCGGTGTTTCGCAAATAACAGAGCACCACAGCCGAGGACTCCCCTCAAAGATCCATTGGTCGATATAGTTCAGACTAATCCCTGAGGTGCGACCAAAATTAATTGTTGATCATGATCCAGCAGACCAAACCCAGCACACCGGTTTCCTCCAATCCCTCACCGTATGACCGTATGCAGAAAGACTTCAACACTAAGAGCAGCCTTCAACTGTACTAGCAGTACAAGCGGCTGCGGTACGCTGAGGTTGGTGTACGTGGAGCTTGGGTATACTGCTGTAGAAACAAAGAGAGTGAAACATTTTCCGCATGCAGACGACAAGCTGTTCCGTTTCACCTGACGGTTGCAGATTTCGCGACGCCTTTCACTAACAATACAATGCCGCATCGAAGTAGAATAGAGTCGTTCTTTGTACTACAAACCACCCCAAACAAGCATCACGTCCCTTTGAACAGGCTATTTCTTTTACGGGTGAAGACGATGCACAGGTATCACAGCACTTATTGTAGTCCCCCTTGATGCTTGGTGAATTTTCTGTATTGGATTGGGGTAAGAAATGAATGCACCTTGTCTGCTCCGTAAAGCCGCTAAATGAATGCACTTTGTCTCCTCCGTAAAGCCGCTTAATGTTTCGTGGTGCTGCGGAGATTCGTCTCTTTCAAAACTACTTTCATGGTCTCAGCTGCTGTGACTTCTGCATTCTGCGTAGGCAGTTTGCCCCGGACCCCCATCCCTATCATGTAAGGCATGAACCGTTGTGTTCCGGAATGCTTAAAACTGGAAAGACAGATCTTTCACACCGGACTCACTCAGGCTTCCGAGTGGGCACCGCTGCATACTTCGAAGTACAAAGCCTACATATATTTTTTTTGTTTTCGGCAAGATCTACTCGCACAACATGGGCGAAGCTGCAAGGTTTCCTCGCCTGCGCAATGCCCTGGTTGGGGGGACGTTTTCCTGATCTTCAGCGCTCCAGGGGGTGTGCCAAGATGAACACTACTGCTGTAGCTCGAACTCAGAAAACGACCCACAGGCAAGGAGCGAAACTCAATACTCTAGAAAAGACATACAACAGAAAGATCGCGTGCGCTGGAGGTCACCATCCTGCTCTGATGCCTCAACTGCTCGTGGTGGGCGAAAGATCGACAAAACTTAAATACAGTGAACGCGACTGTCCCGTCTGGACGCCACGCCTCTGAAAACATAAAAGTTCCACACAATAACTTGGGAGAAATTCAAACAAGCTTTTTGGCAGGTCAATCCCGCCCGTTGGGTGAGAGCGCTTGCATTTTTCACTCTATCGCAGTTGTTACCCCGATGTGGTTCATCCTTGTAGCCTGGAGCTCGAGCCCAAAAATTTTCACTCCGTTGGTCCAGTCGCAGCGCAGAAAATGCAGGGCACTCGGTACATACATCACTACGTAGGTCGCGTCCGGGAGACCCAACCCTCCCGACGTACAAAACACGCAACGCCACAACACGCCCTGACTCCCTCGCAGATGAAACAACACCGACAGTTCCACGGTCCACAAAACAGCGGTGGGTCGTTGTTGGCCACCCACATGCTCCGCACATCCTCCAACCAGCCAAAAGGCGTGAACTCAACAAGACTGAAAAACTGACCCCAATGGAAGCTAACATATGCTGCACTCGCTAGGCTAGACCAGACACAAGCAAAACAAATGGATCCAGAACCAGACACATGCAACGACAGGAGAGGGAACAACCGCACTACAAACGCCAAGGAGACTACATACTTGGATACGCAAAGAAGGGGACAGGGGGGGACGGCTGGCGAGAAAGCGAGGAGGAACAACGCGCCAGGGCCGATTCTCCGAACCAGCTTGGGAGTAAATACATAACCGCCTTAACCCTTTTCGCTCATACGCTGATGGCGCGTATCTTCTGCTCGACATCGGCGCGGCAGACGGGGCACTGCTCGAACTGAGCGGCGCACGTGAGGCAGCAGCAGTGGTGCCCGCACGGGACCAGCGTGCAGTCTACCTTCCTCTCGAAGCAGACCTATAAGTAAGGTGTCGTGCGCGCCAAGTTCGACAGAAACAGAGACAACATACCCCGTGGGGGAAGGGGGGGATGAGAGTTAGCCAGTCGCGATGCCTACCTTAGACGCATAGCTTCACGATCATGGCATGCGAACCTTACGAGGTGTTGGTTCTCACTGGTCTGACGGCGTATCTTTGTTGAAAACAAGGCATGTCGGCGGGCTCTTGGTCTCCCAGCTGGCCGCCCAGCTAGGGCAATGATCATCGGGGACGGACACGCCGCGACTCGGCTGACAGGATATAGTCATTCTCATCGGTTCGAATCCCAGCTGGATCACTTGCATATCAAAGCACCATGTACACATGCACAAATATACCATATCAGGAGCATGGCGACGGGTCCGTCCCCGAAATTCATTGTCCCAGCTGGGACGCCAAGAGCCCGCCGACACGGCTTTTCGACAAAGTTGCACCATTAGCCCAGTGAGCGCTGACTAATCCAACTATGAACCACCACCCTCGTCACGTGCGCAAGCCAGGCCGTCCTTCCTGCGAAAACATTGACAGCATGATCGATTTGAAAATCAAAACCATAGCCTGCTCGTCCTAGACCGGCTTGAAGTCTCCGTCCCAAGGCGCTAACCGCTTCGTCTCTGCCATTCCCAGTATCCTCATCTGGGGATGCGGGTAGACTACCGCGCTCGGGGACACTGGAAATGGCAGAGACGAAGCGGTTAGCGCCTTGGGGCGGAGACTTCAAGCCCGTCTAGAGCAGCAATCAAGGTTTTTGATTTTCAAATCAAACATGCTTCCAAAGTTTTCGTAGAAAGGAGTGCGAGAGGGCGTTTTGAGTGACGGACACATTCGGGTTGGGAAAGGAGGAGTAGACTTGGAGGAGCTGCGTAGGCAGGACACGACCGAAAGCGTCGACAAGGCGATATCGGCGTGGCACTTGCCCGTCACAACCACGTCTCACATGCCAGGCTAACTCACATCATCTCGGATGGCAGTCATAGCGGGGCTACCATCGGAGATGATCTGAGCCAGCACGGGCATGGAAGTCACCCTTGTGATGAGCTACAGTAAGTTCGATGCTGCCTTTTCAACTCCCTCATTGGTGCACTGCTTATGCAGCTCCTCCATTTCTATTCCATCTCTTCCAACTGAAATGTGGCCGTCACTCAAAACCACCTCTCACACTCCTTCCTGCGCGAAGGTGGTGGGGGGTAATCTACATTGCTAGACGTATGGTGGAAGCTTCCATGAACGTCGGTGTTGACTCCTACAAAAGCGGAGCAGGCGGGGGGGTGCTTGAGCAGAAATCCGGACCAAGCGCAGAGGCACAGGAATGCACACACGCTTGCCCAAGAAACCCTTGACTGAGGTATATCGCACGTTGGCGCGACTGGTGATGATGCAGAACACAGGCGGTGGGTGGAACACGCACGATAAAAAATCGCACATGATGGGATGGAAGATTGGTGAGGATGACCCTCGGGGTCGCGAATTTCTACCCCGGTAATTCTTTCTTCCGAAGGAACAACGCTGTGTAATCGTTCCAAGCGTAGCAGACAAGGCAGGCACGGAAGCGAAACGCTATGGTGGCGCACAAAGACTCACCACCAACGCAAGCACCTGACATAAACCACGCGTGGCAAATTTCCTCACGCGTACTCACGAAGTCCATCAAAGCAACACACTTTACCACCAACATCCGGGGCAACCCAACCTACAGCGGGAGAGTCTCCCCTTGCCCTTGTAGCCTGTGGCTAACAACCACCCTGAATCCAATCTCCCATACTACAACGCTCCTCTGCAGGCGAGAAAGTACGCACACACACACACATGCTGCCCCCTCACAGGGTCCCAGTTCATGGCAGAAAAAAGTGTTGTTTTTTTTCAACCGCACTGAGACTGACGTCTTTTCATTGGTCAGCCGGTTAGCGCGATCGACGCTATAAAATACACACACATGCACAGAGAGTAGCCAATCTTCCCCGTGATCCTCCGAGGTGTCTCAGATCATACCTTTAGAAAACGTTTTCCATCTACTAGGCCACGCCGCTGAGACTGACGTATTTTCATCGGTTGCGCGGTTCAATATGCCAACACACACGCGCACACCACCTTCACTCACGATGCACATGTTGTCGTCGTCTCCCAAGGGAGCGGCGACCTCCGTACCGCCAGCGGCGGCACCTGGAGCAGACGCCGCCGCGGAGTTCGGGTAGCCCCCGCCTCCGCCGCCCCCGCTGCCGCCTCCTGAAGACGGGGTGCCACTGTTGTTGCTGATGCGTGATCGGTGCCCGCCGGTCTGAGCATTGGGGTGGATATCAGAAGGAAGGGCAAATACGGGCAGTCGATGGACGAAAGCTCAAACCAAGTACTGAGGGTGCTCGACCCGCAACAAACACAACACGTTTCCTCTTCAGCTTCGCGGAATATGGATGCTACAGATGATGCCGAGCTAGAATCGGAATATGTCGTAACGTGACGACTGCAACAACAATGTAGTAGAAGCAGCAACAGGAACAAACAATAACCACGGCTTTTCTCCCTCTCACTCACAACGACCTTTTCTCCCTCTCACCCACGAAGACCTTTTCTCCCTCTCACCCACAAAGACCTTTTCTCCCTCTCACTCACGAAAGACTCCAACGACATACCCCCTTCGACTACTGTGCTACAATCTCGGAATGGGTGTATGTATGCCCTTTTCGGTTGTACGTCATGTCTTCCGGGAATAACAAGCATCGGCGGCTACACCGTTTACCTCAGGAACAACGTTGGCACCGTCATAGAGACACTTCTCCAGCGCCCTCCACAGGGATCCCATGTCTCTGATTTCGGTTACCTTGCACCCCTGCGGGAGTCAGATCAGAACCAAAACGCCGCGGGGGGGACAGCGGGAACGTCGGGGCGGCGCGCGGGGCGGGCCGCGTACTCTCACGTGTCTCGCATGCCGTCGGTGCGGGGGGGGGACGGGGCGGCATGCAGGCCAGATTGATGACAAGAGGTGTCTCGGCGAGTTCGAGGAAGACGGAGCACGTTGCATGCAGGGGTGTACGCGAAAGAAGCCCGTTCTTAGGGCAACCGCCGGTAACACAGGCTTCGCGTGACTGGCCGATGACACAAATAGACACAAGGGGGTACACAACACACACCCGCTTCGCCGAAGGAGGAGGGGGGGGCATGTCTATCCTCCATTGAGGCGCAGCCCTGCACACGTGGCTGGATGACAGAGCGTTTGTCAAGAATATGCAGCATGAGGACACACGCGGTGGGGGGACAGCGAGAACCATCTGATGCTAACAGACCTGTGTGAATGCGAGGTACCGCATGATTTGAACGTGTCCGGACGCGGCGGCAGCACCCATCACGCTCAAACGACGGCTGTCACCCAGGGCAATCTGGACATCCACAGTGCGGCACAACGCGGGGAAATGGGGTGCGGAAGGGGGGGGGGGGGGGGG